CCCCAAAACCCCAAAACCCCATAAGAAAATAATCAATGTAAATTAGCAAAAATATAAATTTTAATGAAAAAGATTAAGAGTCAAGATGCTTTAGAGCTCTTAGATTTATATAAAGATGAATCGATATCCAGAAATAGAAATATGTTTCCCTAGCATTAGTATAATTAAAGCATGGATAAAATAAAAAGAGATTATGTGATTTGAAGAGCAGTACTGAATAAATCTAGAATTCTTGAGCAAAATTTGATATAGTTTGATGCATCTAATGTAAATTAGCAACATAAGGTTAAAAGTATCAAAAGAATCTTGATATAAAAACCACTAAAGATTGAAGGGGATAGAAATGGCTAAAATATCGAATATGAGACTCATTTAGTTAATAGATTGTAAATTGAGCCTGAGTCTTTTGGCAAATTGTAAAAAGGTAGAGATAGTTAGAGTAGTTCATGCAAAAGCAAAAGAAGTAGCTAATCTAGAAATAGTAGCGTGTCCTCTTCATTCAACCCCTACCAGCCATATTCTGATTTTAAACTTTAGAGAGAGAAATAAAAATCAATACTTCATCAGTAATTAATTTCTTAAAAGAAGGAGCAAGCTAAAAAGAAGAAAATAAGATTAATTGAAAAGTAGTTTGACGATATGAAAAGCTTAAATAAATCTCAATCTTCAGATGTGTCCAGTGAGGATGATGAAGCTTAGTTAAGAGACTTCAAAATACAGATTATTGATGAAGAATCTTCGATTATAGATCAACCTTTTTCAAATGATGAAAGCACAATTAAGATTGAAATAGACAGTTTGTAGAATAACTAAGGCCAATTATTAGAAAATGAATAGCCGGAGCAGTCATTTTATTAGAAATCCGTTCTTGATGAAATAACAGAGACAATCAAAGGAGGATAGAAAACCAAAAAGAGAATATGTTGGCAAAAACTAAGTCACAAACCTTTAAAAATATTTGATAGATAGGCTCTATAAGAGATTGAAAATGATTAGCTAACCAAAAAACAAGCAGATATTCATCAAAATGAAATTTAACTTCCTAGAAGTGTTAGTAACATATTCCCTAAAAAATCTATTTCATCAAGGAATAATGCTAACAGTGGAGTTTAAAGTTCTCACAGACAGCGCAGGTTTGATATGAAGACGTAGGATTAGCAGTTTATAATCAAACCACTCATTAAAATAAAACATTAGCAGTAAAATAGTGGAGAGAATCCAAAACTTCAAAAGCAATAGAGTCAATATTTTTAGAATAGATATTACTCAAATAACTTCCTCTAGAAAGAAGCGGATGAAGGCATATAAAAGCAAATCGTAAGTCAAGAGAAGAATGATAAATTCAAACTTTAAAGTTTAATCCCTGACTTATTGAAATCAATCATCAAAGACAAATAGAGGTATAGTGACCTTAACATGAAAATTAGACACTCTCTTGATAAAAGTAAATGGAAAGTTAGTAAGATATTGCCAGAAATGAAGTTACAGCAAAGTAAATGCGACAATAGATCTTCTTTATAAAATTATAAGTCAATGATATTGATGTAGAGTGCTGATGCTATTGTCGATAAAAAATAAACTGATTAAATGCAGTTGAATAATTTAAGTTGATTATTCATTCATCTTCTCATATATCCTATATCTTTTGAATTAGGGGTTTTGGGGTTTTGGGG